AACTTCGGGGGGGAACTCTTTCCCCTGAGCCATGGGCACGCCATTGCATGGAGATCTCGGATCGGCCCACCACCCTGCCGATCACGCACGACCCGAATCTCTCCGACAAGGTTATGTACCTCCAGATGGCCTTCAAACAGCGCCCCCTACGGGATGGGGGTGGGAAGCCCTCACTGGGACGGCTGGCCCCGTGGACTCGGCCTGGGGGCCAAGATCTGTGTCCTCACTTCGCCAGGGGGACAAGCTCCAGGAGTCGCTCTCGTTGGGGGACGGGTCACATCCCTTCCCGGAGGACCTGCTGGAGCCTGGCGCCTGGGGCGGGCCGACCTGCTGAAGGCCAACCCTTCTTCCTGGACATCTTGCACAGCGTGGCGCTGAACATTCAGGACCCCGACCACCAGTTTCCTCGGGATCTGGAACAAGGGGTCCCACTGGGGGTCACGGACCCACCCCTGGCCTCGCCGGGCATCTGGCCACTCAAGAAGGAGCTGAAAGTAACTACCCGTCGGCGGATCACTTCAGTGAGCCCATCCGTGGCACATTCTTGGAGGAGGTCCCCATGGGCATGGTAGAGGGCCCCTTCACTAAGGTGGAGGCAGCATCGCGCTGTGGATGCGAGATTGAGGACCTTTGTCCCGGCCCCCTAGCGGGCATCGACGAAGGGGACAAGATCCGCACCATCTACGATGGCTCGGTGGGAGGGGCCAATGACACCATCAGGAACCAGACGGTGGAAAGGACAACGGCTCCGACGGTGCTGGATGGGGTACAAGCTCTTCATTGGCTACATGCGGCAGCTGCGGAGGGACCTCCCTCTCAGGGTGCCCCTGGCCCCCGAGCGACACCACCTTGCTGTTCGCGGAGCGCAATGCATGGCGCAAGATTCACGAGATGGTGCACCAGGGCACCACTCTCTCCGAAGCCCTCAAGAACATCAGGGGCAACTTCCTCTTCTGGCAGCGGGAGGTCTATGAGCACCTCAACAGGGCGCCGGAGAAGGGGAAGAGCAAGAGCAAGGCACCCAAGGTGTGGCAGACTCAGTGGGAGAAGCCCAAGAAGGGGGGAAAGGGATCCTGGCCCTGCAAGCCAACCCCACCAGAGCCACAGCGGAAGGCAGACAGAGCGGGGGAGGCCAGGACGGCCCCACATAGGAGGGGATTTCTCCAGGGTGCCACCGGCCCCGGAAGCCCCTCCACCGAAGAAGAGGAGCGGACCACTCCAGAAGGGCGGAAGCACCCCTTTCCCCCGCACCCACCGAGGCAGTGGGAAGAACCCCCAGAGAGACCCAGAGGTGAGGATCCGCCCGGCAAGGGGCGTTCCAAGGGCGGGCAGAACCGCCAGGGCAAGCAGCAAGCCCAGGGACAGAGGACCGGAGGGTCAGACAAAGGACACACGGAATCCCTAGCAAGGCAACCCCCACTTTCCCATGGATGCAGGATACCCCGGAAAGACTGAGGCTCAGACTGAGGTGGACGCCACGTCCGGTGCCGGAGTCGTCAAAGCCGTGCTGTACGCTGGGAAGGATGATGCGGGGGCCCTGGATGCCTACCTCCATGCCTACAACCCGGCCTTCTCGGAGTACATTTGGGCAGTGGACATCAGGCGAAAGAGTGGAGATCTTGGGCAGGACATGCTTGGAGAGGAGCCGTACTCCACGATGTGCTCCATGGCCATGGCGGGCAAGGTCGCCTTGGTGGGGGGCGGCCCCAACTGCAGGACGTGGAGCATTCTCAAACCGGGTGGCCCGCCGCCGGTGAGGGGCAGGGCGGAGCAGACCCTGTGGGGTTTAGAGGACCTGGAGCCCCGGGTAATGGAGGACACGGACAACGACAGCGTGCTCATGCTCCGACAGATGTACCTGACCTCGCTGGCCTACCTGGGGCTAGGTCAACTAACGGTCCCGCAGGTGGGCTCCTCCTTCTTGGAGCACCCAATGGACCCAATGGAGTGCAGCAAGAGCCCGAGTGCAGCGAGGTGTTCAATGGGCGAACGCACTCCACCACTCCCTCATCAAGTTTGACGAGTGCCGCCTGGGTCAGGTGGTAGTGAAGTCCACGACATTGTCAACGGACCTTCCCCTTCACCATTGGCATGATCTGCGATGCAACCACGGAGCTCACCCCAGGGGGGAAAAGCTCAACTCCAGTGACCTCAGCCGGTATCCAGAGCAGATGATGCAGGGTCTCGCAGCGGCCATCCTTTGCAGAGCGGGACCCGTCCTGGAGGCGCTGAGGCCGGGGGGCATGGCCCCCAGGCGAACCCAACGACCCCCCCGAGGCGACAGAGGGAACCTTCTCCCAGCACGCCGGGGGACAACAAGCGCCAGTCCCGGAGGCTGGTGGCCGGCCAACAAGCGTTGGCGGGACTAACCTTGGGCTCACTTCCGGTCTCGGCATCAGACAGTCCGGAGGCCCGGACACCAGCACAGCCGGCTGGGGGGATGGTCGAACTTCGGGGGGGAACTCTTTCCCCTGAGCCATGGGCACGCCATTGCATGGAGATCTCGGATCGGCCCACCACCCTGCCGATCACGCACGACCCGAATCTCTCCGACAAGGTTATGTACCTCCAGATGGCCTTCAAACAGCGCCCCCTACGGGACGGGGGTGGGAAGCCCTCACTGGGACGGCTGGCCCCGTGGACTCGGCCACTGTCCAAAGCAGCAGTGATGGGGGCCAAGATCTGTGTCCTCACTTCGCCATGGGGGGACAAGCTCCAGGAGTCGCTCTCGTTGGGGGACGGGTCACATCCCTTCCCGGAGGACCTGCTGGAGGATATCAGGGAGATCTGGCGCCTGGGGCGGGCCGACCAGCTGAAGGCCAACCCTTCTTCCTGGACATCTTGCACAGCGTGGCGCTGAACATTCAGGACCCCGACCTGGAACAAGGGGTCCCACTGGGGGTCACGGACCCACCCCTGGCCTCGCCGGGCATCTGGCCACTCAAGAAGGAGCTGAAAGGGGAGGAGCCGGAGTTCCAGGAACTCCCTCATCCCACGGGCCGGGGTAACTACCCGTCGGCGGATCACTTCAGTGAGCTCATCCGTGGCACATTCCTGGAGGAGGTCCCCATGGGCATGGTAGAGGGCCCCTTCACTAAGGTGGAGGCAGCATCGCGCTGTGGATGCGAGATTGAGGACCTTTGTCCCGGCCCCCTAGCGGGCATCGACGAAGGGGACAAGATCCGCACCATCTACGATGGCTCGGTGGGCGGGGCCAATGACACCATCAGGAACCAGACGGTGGAAAGGACAACGGCTCCGACGGTGCTGGATGGGGTACAAGCTCTTCATTGGCTACATGCGGCAGCTGCGGAGGGACCTCCCTCTCAGGGTGCCCCTGGCCCCGAGAGGGAGGTCGTCAAACCTCCACCTGGGGGCTGGCTATGGCCGGAGCCGGGCACCAGGTGGGTGCTGCTCAAGGCGGACGTCACCAAGGCCCACCGGAGAGTGAAGGTCCTCAGGAAGGACTGGCGGTTCCAGGTGGCTTCACTGGGGGAAGAATGGTGGGTGAACAAGGTCGGCACATACGGCATGGCCAGTGCCCAATCCTACTGGGGACGCCTGGCAGCTCTTCTACTCCGGGTCCTCTACGCACTTTTCCCTCAAGTGGATTGGAACTTCGTCTTTGTGGATGACTTCCTGTGGCTGCTTCGCAGCGAGGGGGCAGTAAACTTGGCGGTGGCGCTGTTGGCCACACTCCTGGCCTTGGGCACCCCGCTTAGTTGGAAGAAGACACATTTGGCGGAGGTCAACACGTGGCTGGGCTTCGTGGTCCACCCGAACATCCCGCAGGTTCTCATGGCCGCCAACAAACACATCCTGGTCATGGAGGTCTTGCAGACCATGGTGGAAGGGCAGGCGATGCACTCAAAGGACATCGAGAAGGCCCTGGGCCGCATCCAATGGGCCACTGCTGCATGTCCGCTGGCGAAGTCGATGCTCCAGCCACTCTGGGCCTGGAAGATGGCCACCACCACGGTGGGGAAACCCCCCAAGGTGGTCAGGATGCTGGCGTTCATGCTGCGGTCCCTCTTCAACACGCCATAACACGCCCTTCGTCCAGTACTCCCCTTACTTGCCGAAGTCCTCTTGGTGGGGCTGCAGCGATGCTAGCGCCTCGGACGAAGGACTGGCATTTGTGGGAGGATGGTGCTCCAACAAAATGGAGCCGGAAAAGAAGGAGGTGTACTGGTTCCACGAGCAGATCCACGCGGAGGAGTATCCTTGGGCAAGAATGGGGATCCCAAGCGGAGGATTGCGGCTTTGGAAATGCTGGGCACGCTCTTCCTCTGTAACATGATCCTCACGCACCAAGGCCCTCTGTCCTCCCGGGTCCGACTCCCGGTGGGCAGTGACAATCAGGGCAACGTCATGGCTATGCTCAACCTTGGATCCAAGAAGCCCTACACCGCGGCTATCCTGATGGAGCTGGTTTTCCTGCTCCACACCCATGGCTGCTCGCTGGCGGCCAACCACGTGCCCCGGGAATTCAACCAGTGGGCTGATGAACTGACGCACCCAGATTTCTCTGGGTTCGACCCTTTGAACAGGGTCCCCAAACAGGAACTCTGCGAGGAGTTCATTTTTCTCCCGCGTCTCCTGAGGGCCCACCCATGCTCCCGTGACCGGAGCCGGTGGGTGACTCACTTCCCCTGGTGGCAGACCCCCCTGTGGCCTGGGTGCCACGGGCCCCGGCTCAGGGGCGGGCGCTATCAGTCTGCACACCCGTTCTTCAGTTTTTGAGAGTTTGAGGTGGGTGGCCCGTGGGGCCCACCCAGCCGTTGACATCTGACAGGGGAAGATGAGTCCCTGGCACCAACACATTGCTCGGATAAAAGAGTTATCGCGTGCTTGCGTGGTGCCGTTTGGTTAGCTTGCACACACAGGAGTTTTTCGGATGATAGTTGGCTGTTGTCATGACCATGCAGGATGATCAGGGGACTGCATTTCTTGTTTGCAAGCGGGATGTGGCCGTGCGCTGTTGCTTGTCCGGTGCGCAGGCCAGAGGGCCCAGCAAGATCCAGCTCAGCTTTGCTGGACAGCGCGGGGTGTGGCCGTGGCGCCGTGCATTCAGAACATGTGGGTGTGATTTCAATTTATCACAAACAGCCTAAGTTTGCCAGACGCTCTGCGTGTTCACTCCCAGGATGTACAAACACGAAGGTTGTAAGATTCAAGCAGCTTAATCTCTTGGTGACATTTGTTTGGGAATCCTTCTCCGTGCTTTCAGGAAAAGCATGAGTGCCCCCTTTCTAAAAACCAAGCAACACACGCAAGGGCCAACAAAGGAAACCAAACATAGAAAAGGCAAAGACACATGCGCGCCGCAAACAATCCGAAGCACAATCCACCTCTCAAAGTTAGACACCTCAAAGTCCGGGAGCCGTGGCAGGACATGTGAGCCCCAAAGCAAATGAAGCAAATGTTGTTGCCCTCTGCCTGTCAAGGCTAAGCCAAGGCCCATCTCATTTGCTGAAGGCAAGCCGGCGTAAAAGTCAGCCACCGAAAAAACAAAGAATAAAATTAGGAAAGAGAAGAAAAGCAGCGCCCTGCCGAGTGTCAGGACAAGGGCTTCGCCTCGCTGGAGCGGACGTATGAGGAGGAGGCTGGCTCCGTTGGCCGACCTGCGCCGGTGGAATGGGACGCGGAGGTGGCGGAGGCGGAGGAGCTGTCGCCCCAGTTCCGGTGGAAGGACCAGCACGGGGAGAGGGGGTCCGGAAATGGGGGGGAATGACAGGGGTTAGCGAAGGCTGGTTCGGCTCGTAGTACCATTCACTTTTTGAGAGTTGCACCCAATGCGGATTGATGAATGTGGGGCCGGCCTTGGGGGGCATGAGTCCAATCCAAATCATTGAATCATTTTGAGGCAATCTCGGCAGAACTGCCTTTAAAGAGGGCGAGGTGTGGGCATTTCAGCTGCCAAGTTCGCTCGAGAAAGCGTTGATGCTGCGAACGGCTCCATGGGATCCCTGGACTTTTGCTCGCTCCGGAAATCTGGTGGACCACCTTTGGGCCCCATCTTTCAGCAGCTTTTGGTACCTTGCGGCATCGGCAGGACGAGAGCTTCATCGACCTGAGCGTCGCTTCCATGGATGGGTCTTGCTGCCAGCTGAAGGCCCCAGTCCTCGCAACCGCAGATGATGTGCTGTACATACTGCACAAGGGCGGGATGGTGCCCGGCTGCCCGCGCTTGCTCTTTGGGAGCTCCTGTTTGCGATTGGTTCCGTTCCATTTATAACCCACGTCGCTGAGGTGGCTAGGGCGGGTCATGGGAAGATTTCCAAACAAAAGCGCATGTGCTGGGACTTATCATTCATTCAACCTCGCATGTTTCAGCCAGCACACATGCTGGGCAAGATGGCAAAGCCAGCCTTTCCGGCAGGCTTCAAATAAATGGGTTCCAGCTTGCACCAAGGGACAACATTAGCATTTGGTCATTTTGATCGAACCCAGTTTGTTAGAACCCATTTAGAATTGGTCAAGCAAAACCCGGGTGTATCAAAGCAAAGGCCGATTCTGGTTCTGGCATCCCAGGAGCTCGGTGCTGGCGAAGGACATCCCGCTGAGAGACCTGGGCATCCAGCAGGGTGCAGAGCTGCAGTTGGTGATGCTGAGGTGCCCGGAGGGCCAGCCGATTCCCCGATTCCCATTGGGCTGGGTAGACACAAAAGTCCAGGTTGTGGGCGCTTGCCTTTTTGGTACGAACGGGGGGACCTCCCACCCCCCCACACTTAAGGTAGGCGGCTCCTCATGTGGTGATCCCTACCCCCGAGTGTGTGCGTGTGTCAGCTTAAGCAATGTACGGAAGGGGGAGGGACCCTCCATGTTTCTTGCCTTTCTAAATGCACGGGGGGAGGGGGCCACGGTGTCCGTTTCAGAGGCGAACACCGTCAATCAGAGGCGAACACGGTTGCCGTGTGGCAAAACTCATGAGACAGGCGAGGGAGGGGTAGAAGGGGACTCGAGTAGAAGCCAGTTTTGGACAGACCCTTCGCTTTGGCACAATCATGGGGCATTGTACAAGCATGCGAGCACGTTACGTAGCACAGCGGCCTCCACCGGAAACCTTGGCTCGGGGCCCTTCTCTCATCCCTCTCGTTGCTTACCTGCGCCATGCAGGCCCTGCTTGGCGCTGGACGCCAGCGACAACAGCCTGGGCCCTGTGGGGCTCCACACCTTGGTAGACGGCCTGCGGGGTCCGCTGCTTCGCGTGTCCTTGGCCCGCACCGGGCTCTTCGGGCGCGTAGGGGGCCAGGCCGTGGCCAGGCGCGGGTTGAGAGGCCTTGAGCCTCGCCCCTGATCATGCTACAATGGTACTTGCAAGGTGGGTCAGAAAGGCCTCTAGCTTGTCCACATTCCGAGTTTCCTGGAGGTGAGAGACGGGTTTTGACCGTGAAAGCTGGTAGCTGCCACTTTCAAGCATTTGTTGCTTGAAGCTGGTATTTGATGCAGGCTGTCCTCGTCTTTGGTCTTTTCTCGGCACACCCGATCTCAATTAACAAAGGTAGTATGGGGAGTACAGCTGCTGTCGGATTTACTTGCAGGAGGAGGGGTCTGCTGTTTGCTTGTGCCTGCCGCCTGCGAGGGAATCAGAATCCTGCGGGGTTTCCGCGCAGGCTACTGCGGGCATCTCCTGGCCTTGGCTCTTTGGACGTGAGCGGGAACAACGGTTTCGGGGCGGCCTCGCTGTGCGCCACAGGCGCGGCCAAGTCACAACTGCCCAAAGCCCAAGCTGGGTATTGCTGGATTTTGGAAGGCGAGCAGGGAATTACCCGAGTTCAATTCTTCTGCTTGTTGTTGGGGCCTCTCCGTCGTGCTGAACAGGGTGCAGCTGAGGCATCGATCTGGGTGCCCTGGCTGCCGAGATTCCCATCTCGTACTCGTTGAGGACCTTGCCGGCTCCAGTCGCAATGCTTTTGTTGAAAGAGGGTGCTTCCGGATGGGTCGTCCGCTTTTGTTTGTGTGATCTCGGCGTGTTTCAACCTGGGACGTGGTGGAGGGAGCCTTTTTCCAAAAGCCGAGCAAATTGGCACTGCCATACTGAAGCTGGAGCACCTACTCTTTGCACTTTGGACTGGCTACGCGCACTCCTGAGAACCCATGCGTGATCAAAAGCAGAGGGCGGCACTCCTGATTTCGCGTACTTGCATGGCACTCTTTTTTTTTTGGGCAACAGATCGAATATGTCTGGGTCAGCCGGTCAATCAACCCGTGGCTGTAGGACGCTGGTCCTGGCGGACTGCAGCCTGGAAGGGGTGGCCGGGGGCCAGCAGCTGGCAGCGGTGGTGGCGAAGCTCAGGAACTTGGACTCGCTGGACATGCACAGCACCCGAGAAGAGACATGTCAGCCCCACCCCAATCATCCCCACTCCGCAGGAAAAGGTTGGAACAAAAGCATGAACAGTTTTCTGTGGGGATTAGCAGACCAGATCTGTAAGACCTCTGGGCCTAACTCCTTGAACCAAAAACAACGTTGTGTTTTGGAGTTGTTTTTGAGGTTTTGCTAGGTCGGGCCCGTAGGGTAGTCTCGGTAAAGATGTGATGTGAAGTTGCTTTTTTAAATAATTTTCGTAGGTCGGGTTCGTGAGGTCCGGCAAAGAAACAAATCGGGATTGAATTTCAGAGTTTCCTTAGGTCGCTGCTGTGATTTGGAGTTCTTTTTGAAGTTTTGGTCGGGTTCGATTTGGAGTTGTTTTGGACATTGTTGATGGTCGTGTTCTGTTCGTAGGAGGTCCGGTAAAGAAACAAATGGGGGTTGCGTTTCTGGTTAGGGGGCTGGATTGGGTCGCTGCTGTGATTTGGAGTTGTTTTTGAAGTCTTGGTAGGTCGGGTTCGTAGGGTAGGTGCGGTAAAGATGTGAGTTGAAGTTGATTTTGGTAACTTCGTAGGTCGGGTTGGTAGGAGGTCCGGTAAACAAATAGGGGTTGAGTTGAATTTCAGAATTTCTGGGCAGGGGGATTAGGTTTGGGTAGGCCGGGTTCGCTTTGGAGTTGTGTGTGCAATTTTCGTAGGTTGTGTTCGTAGGAGGCCCGGTAAAGAAACAAATAGTGGTTGAATTTCTGGGTAGGGGGATTCGGGATTAGGTCGCAGCTGTGTTTTCCCTTATAGGCTTTCAAAGGCCATGAAAAGAATGGTCGAGGTCGCTAGACTGCTTTTTGCCTGCGCCTGGCCCTGGATCTGAATATCCAAAAAACCATGGTTTTTGTTGCCCAAGAATTGCTTAGGGTCAGGTCACTGACAGTCACGCCGCCTCATCCTCCCAGCTGCAAATGACTGCACCCAAGCCACTCATTCCCCGGCTTGCCAAGTGTATGGTCGCATCACTTTTCAAAGTCGACAGGTGTCCCGCCTACCGTATATGCGTGCATAGGTTCTTCGCATGCTGGTACTGACGTCCGGCTTTTTTGAAAAATGCTGCAAACTTAGTGGCTTCGGGGCATCGCTGCCGATCAGGCATGCGTTGTGGGCTCCTGGGGGTATGGCTGTCTTTTAAATGTACTTTCCATGCTAAAAAGCGTTCTTTCCACGGTTTGTCCATGGTTTGTCCACGCCTCATCTTCTTTCGAAATCAATTAACAATCAACAAACAACACGCGATCAGACTCTGTGGAGCTGTGGACAAGAAGTGGAAAAGCACGCACGGGCAATGTGAGGGACAAGCCAAATTGACACAGCATGGTGACGGCGTGTGATTACAACGGGATGAAGCGACTTTAAAACATACTTAGCTTACTTCATAAAAGGCTGCGATAGAGCTCTTCAACTTCTCACTGCACAGAAGCGCGCAGGGATGTCAGGAGCCAGCCGCCTCAAGTTGGCCAAGCTTGTCTAGACCTACCTTTTTTTATTTTTGTCGAGGGGCATTACTTTTATAGCCTTTCGTTTTTTAAATGGTCGAGGCTATTTAAAGAATAGTCAAGGAAGCATAGGGTTTTGGGGTTGTTTTTGAAGTTTTGGCAGGTCGGGTTCGTAGGGTAGGTTCGGTAAAGATGTGATTTGGAGTACCTTTTTTTCTTGAGATGTGATTGAAATGTTCGTTGGTCGGGTTCGTAGCTAGGTCCGGTAAAGACGTAATTTGGGGTTGATTTCTGGGTGCAGGGGCCGGGGCCCAGGAAATTAGGTCGTCGGTCTGCAGGTCCGTGTGATTTGGAGCTGTTTTTGCAGTGTTGATAACAGGTCCGGTAAAGAAGTAAAATGGCTAGCCGATTGGCTCACTTGGCAGCATGTTTCATGTTTGCAGGATGTAGGCCAGTTATTTTTGGATGTTCATCAGCCGGGAGCTTTATTTTGGGTGGTCGGGATGTCGGTCGATCAGGCTAGCCGGCGGACCTCGGTCCCGGCGCCTGGTTTGTTGCCAAGCAGGCTGGCCGATTGACCTCGGTCCCGGCGTTTGCTTCGGCTACAGGCTGGCCGGTCGACCTGATTTGTTGCCAAGCAGGCTGGCCGGTTGACCTCGGTCCCGGCGTCTGCTTCGGCTGCAGGCTGGCCGGTCGACTTCGGTTTCGGCGCCTGATTTGTTGCCAAGCGGCGTCTGTTTCTGCCCACAAGCAAGCTGGCCAGTCAATCTCGGTTGGCTATAGGCTGGCCGGTCGACCCGGCGGCTCAGTCCGGCGTTTGCTTCGGCTACATGCTGTCGACCTCGGTTCTGGCGCCTGATCCTTGTCAAGCAGATGTTTCTTTTTGTATTCCCTGCCGGGCTGACTGAGATGCTCTGCGACCTTGGGGTAGACTTATTTGTTTGAAATATTTTGAAATAAAGGAGCAACATGTTAGGCCATTAACTTCATTCATTGGGATTATTTAGTTAGTTTATACAAGATCAATGAGCTTTGAGAGGCACACCTCTAAATGTTGGTTCAACTCAGTGACACTCAAACACATGGTAGACAGTTGTCCTGCGAGTAAATCGCGCCACATTAAAACGCGAATTATTCACGGCTGATAATACATTAACTGTCACGCACGCCCAATACAATCGGTCACGCCCAATCACGGCATCCAACAAAGTCATGAATTCTGATAAACCAATGTTGCAAAAGTATGCCTACATACCGAAAGAGGCATACTTTTGAACGATAGTAACTATGACCAACATGGACCGGAGCATTTCCAGCCACATTGTTGACACCCCCAGTACATTGCATGAAGTTTTAGTGAAAGACATCAGTTTAACAAAATTTAAATACAAGTCCTGTCACGGTTGAAATTGCATGTAAGCTGAACTCACCATGTGCAATTCACTGCGTTCCTGGGGTACCGTAAACTGTATGGAGATTCGCTTCAATACTCGGCAATATCTTCAAAATAACTGGAGCCCCCAATTGGCCCGTCAATTCAATAGGAGATCAGAGCTGGCCAAATTTCGTTGACGTATGCAAGCTCTCGAAATGCGAGACTGTGTCAGATAATTGCTGGTCAGATGGCGGGCGCAGAGTCGCCGGTCGTTGTCAACACAGGCACAGACATGGAAGAAGCTGACCGAGGAGATCGATAACTTCAGTTTGCGCAAAGAAGAGTAAGTTCAGGGACTTCATGCACAAAAAGAAGTGCGATCAGAATCAGGCCCAGCAGCAAGCACGGGTTGTTTCATTGCGTTCCTTCAGAGACAAAGAAGGATAAGCTGGAAGTAACTACACATTGGCCAAGAATCTAAGAAACCAGGGCATTGCTTTGTTAAATTGTACTATTGATAGTTTGAATCTGAAGCTTGTGATTTGTGTTGCAGGCGGTCCCAAAGCCCAGAAGCGCCCCATTGCGGCCACCGATCCAAGAGCCGGTCCGAGCAGTCCCGCCGAACCCTACTTTGCAGACTCAGACTTTGCCGGCCTTCCAGCAGCAAGGATTCCGCGGCAACTGAGCTAAACAGTTGTTTTTTTGCTGTTTGACTGTTCATTGTCATTCTGACTGCTCTTTTCTTCTTTTTTACCCTCTCGCACTCTGACCAACTTAAGACAGCCGAGCTGCTTCTGGCGCAGCAGAACCGGGAGATCAGATTCCTGGGCGACTAGGTGGTCTGCTACAAGCACCTGGCGTGGACTTGGAGGGAGGCTGTGGCTTGAGCTGAATTTGTTACTTGTGGTTATTTCACTCTCAGTTTGACTTTGGCCATTTGTGTTAATTATTTGCGTGTTTTTGTTCATATTTCCATTGCCGGTGGATTGAGTTGAACGGTTGCTGGAAAGTTTGCTTTGCAACAATTGAGGCCATGGGGCGCATTCCGATCCGGTCGGCCGAGAATGTGAACTCACAACTTCTCGGCGGTCCACCGATCGAGTTGTCGTACATTGTCCTCCTCCTCCTCCTCCTCCTCCTCCTCCTCCATCCTCGCATCACGTCAGTCCGGCCGGTCATGGCAGGAATCCCGCCGGTTCATTTCAACCACTGAGGAAAAGGGATTGACGCCTGAGCTGAGCAGCTTCTCTGGTGTCCTCGCGTTGACAGATTTGTGTGATTTTTGACAAGATTGAAGTTGCGCAGCTCAATGTTGTTTTCGTTCATCTGGAAATCATGCCTTTGTAGGTGTTGGACTTTCGCTCGAACTTGGGGTTTACCTTGCCAGAGTGAGAGAGACTAGAAACGCTTACAACAGGCTTTTATCAGTAGGGCTGTTCAAAATGAAGGGCTGCCCAATCTTTAGAGACATGAAAGGGGTCGGACTACCAAACCTGGAGGACGGCGCCAGTTGCCGTAAAAAACTACTGTTATTGAGTTCTTGATGGTCGTGAATTCAAGATGACCATGCTTGATTCTGATAGGTTACAGTTGAAACCAACGAATGAGTGCATTCAGCTTCAACCTGCTGTTTTTACCTATCATTGTCATGCCCACTAACTACATATACCCTGTGAAACAACAAGCGCCTTCAGCTTTCTTGGCAGGTCAACCTACAAGCGCGCGCCTGCTTTCTCCACATACACTTTTTTGCCGGTCATGGTGCGTGTCCACTGAACCCCAAAGTTGCGTGTTGATTGTTGCGGATCACGCCCTCACCATCTCCCTTCCTGTTGGATGTTCTCCTTGTTGGGGGGGGGGGCAGCACACAACTTCAATTTCCTGTGTGCGCTGTTTCAAGTCAACTTGCTCGCAGCTGGCCGCCAAATGGTTTGCACGCCTTGGCAGGACACGGCTTCGCAGTCTCGACCAGCCTCTGGCTCAGCGCTCGGACCGTCGGGGGCTCTCGGGGTTCTCGTAAGTTGCCAACAACATGTTGCTAATTCGAATTTAGTATTGCCAAGACTCTCAGATTCCCTACCGTACCACCAGAAACATGAACATGCAACAAGTCATTAAAGTGACCCGCCTAATTTAAATTTTAAATACAAACA